TGTTGGATTATAAAGGAACTGTACGCTTTCTATTCGCATGACAATACCGCTGCCGTTGCGGCTTCAACTTTTGACAGATTTTTTTCAAGTTTTTACCGTTTGACCATCAAGTGATGATCCAGCCTGCGCAACCTAGCGTGCTGGTCTGGTGTCATCGCCGTAGCTTGACGCGCCTTCAATTCCAGCTGGCGACAATATGGGCATCACCCGTGGTCGAATAGTTATCTCAAAAACGCCCTCCATAATTGCAGTCAAACATCATTAGTGGCTACAGTCCAGGAAAAACGTTTTATCTCTAATTATCAACATATTTTACTTCTATTAATTTATCGATTTTTTTTTAAACCAACCAACACATTTTTTAAAAAAAATATCTATACATATCCTTCAATCAATTCAAATATATTCACAGGAAACTAGGTGATAATTTGGTTCGTTCTGTTTCAAGAAAAATCATAGAAATGAATTTGATTCGAGGTTGTGAAGCGTTGCAGTAAGGATACTTACCATCCCTTAAATAATGGTGTTATCGAGAAGCGAATCGCGAATTATGACGCGAATTTTCCCAGTTTGGCAACGCCAGCCTTCGCAGCATGCTGGTGTCATCGTCGCTGCATGACGCGCCTTCAATTCTAGCTGCCGGCAATTTGGGCATCACCCATGGTCGAATAGTTATCTCCCAAACGCCTTCCGTAATTAAAGTCAAATAGCGATGGCTACAGTCGAGAAAAGCCTTTGTATTTTCATTTTTGTCGCTACTCATGTTCTACTATATATTATTTAGTTATTTATGTACTGAGTTTTGTTTGAATAAAAGTCACTGGCGCATTATAATTCAGGAATTCCCATCCTTTCTTACGACCCTCGACCACCAAGCACGCCCCTTCTTTTCCACGCGTAGGGTGTTTAGCATCAGGATTTGATGTCAATCAGAATTTAGTCCCGATTTCATCAGGATTTGAGGAAAAAACGGTCGTAAAATCAGGATTTGAGAAAAGTCGGCCGTCCGATAGAGTTTTTTAAATCGAGCTATTTCTGTGAAGTTACATTCGCCTTGCGTGAAGTCAGGATTTGATCAGGATTTGGAAAAATTATGAAATCGGGATTTTACAGTCAAAAATCAGGAAAAATCAGGATTTCCCAAAATGGGGGAAAAAACTAGACACTTTGCACGTGCACGTCTCTGGTCGTTCAGCAGAAATACGTCCAAATATCATAAATCTGGCCCTGCGTAGCACTGAAAAAAAAGTATCACAATCTCAAGTATACTTCCAGCTGATTTTGGCGCCAACCATAAGAGTGGTTGTACTTGCTAGAACTGTAAAGGCACCAACCAGCGGTATAGTTAATCCAACTAAACTTATGCTGACTCTGAAGGCGCCAGCCAGAGGTATAGTTGATTCAACCAAACTTTCAGCTGACTTAACCATACCTCTGGCTTGTGCAACTATTCTAATGCAGGGTGTTTACAAGTCCGGAATTTCCGGAAAGTCCGGAATTTCCGGAAAGTCCGGAATTTCCGGAAAGTCCGGAATTAGTACTGATTTTTCAAGGGCGGTCCGGAAGTACTGAAATAGTGCGGAAATTCCGGAATTTTTGTCATTTTTGTCGCAATTTGAAGGAAGGAAGTAAAATTTTTCGAATTTCGTCAAAATGAAGGTACTGAAAAAGTACTGAATTTGTCTGTTGAGGCGGTACTGAATTTCTTGGGAATGTGCTGAAAAAGTATTGTAAAATTACTGATTTCTGACCAGCCTGTTTTAGTAGACACCCTGCTAATGTCTGGCGCCAAAATCAGCTAGAAGTTTAGTTGGGACTGTGGTGCTTTTTTTTTCCGTGCGTCATCTGAGTCGGGCTGAACGTCTGAAAACCAGGTGAAGTCGGTGCAAGCTCATCTGGTTACCGCGGCGCGGCGCACAGTGGACTGAATCAATTAGAGAGGTTGGACATGACATTTTTGACCAAAACTGCAGATTTCGATCTTTATTTCGTCACATTTTAAAGTTTAAGGGGTGTTTCTGGTAGCAAATTTCACGAGGAAACCAATGGAACCACTTCTAGATCCTCAAAGCTTTGTATAAACGGAGATATGAGCTTTTAAAGTTTCCAAATTATGTCCGACCTTACCTATTGACTCGATCCATCGTGCGGCGACTCGGCGGAATGGAATAGCTCCGATCCGGATGGAAGTTGGACTTGGAGTGGCGTCAGACGGTCAGACATGGCGGCAGGAGGCAGAACGCTGGACGGTCATCTCGGGACTGGATCTCTGTTGTGGTTTCGTGTCTGGGTCAAGTACGACCGACTCGACTCCCCGACAAACGCGACCGAGAGCCGCTTCGGCTTATCCCTGTGTAGTTGTTGTCCTCTGTTCCGGCTCGCCCCACCGCGCCAGGCCGCCACACCACTTTCTTTTCCTAGTTATTGTTCTCTGCCCGCCGCCGCGCCGCACGGCATTGTTGCACATGAGAATGAGCCCGTTTTATTAAGATGTCCCATCCCCCCTCCTTAATCTGCCGGGCAGTGGGGCAGGTGTTTTGGACTAGAGTACCTATATTGAGAGAGTATGGCCACTGGGCCCTGTGGAGAGGCTTAGGACCCAAAAATGGCGGTGCTTTGTTTTGGTTTTTGTGGATGGGAGGGGGGTCATTGCCAACTTTTGACGGTTATCACCAACCGCACTTGCTGCCAACTTTACTACATCTAAGATAATTTTTCTCAATAATTGCACACGATTAGCCTTAAAAATATGTGAAGATGTCGCAATAGTGCATTTGAGTAAATTTCTCGTTACGATAAGCAAAGAAAACTACATTTTGAGTCATTTTGCATTACATTAATTTATGGCGCCCGCCATTTTTGGGTCCTAAGGGCTTCATTCAGCCTAAGATGGCTGAGCCAATCAGAAGTGGTAACCCCAGTGGCCATACTCTCTCAATATAGGTACTCTATTTTGGACGAAACGGTCGAACGGTGCGTTTGGCAGTTTATTAGAACTTTAGAGCTTGGTGGCAAGGACCAGGAATACCGTGATTCTTAGGACTCTCTCGTGGACTTAGGGAGAAATGATGACGAGGACTTGAGATGAAAAGGAGAAGCCCTCGGCGTGGCAATCGGCATGTAACACATATTAGCGCCTACAAGACTGCACGAATACTTCACGTATTGCATCTAACACAGTGCGGTTCTCGTGGTCAGCGTGAAACGGATAGCGCCTACAAGAATGCATGGATACTTCACGCATTGCGCCAAACACGGTGCGGTCGGCGCGGCGGCGGAAGTTAAAATCATTAAACCAAATTTTGTGTTTGTTCTTTCATAATTATTTCGTTCATTTCTTGTGAATGGAAGGCCTTGTCCATTAGAGATAGGTTTACGAAACTTGACTTTCGCGCACAGTTCCGGGACCTTTCGCTAGTAGTGTTGACAGGGCTTTCCCAAAAAATGTGTTCAACGCGAGTAAACGCGTCTTATGCACCCCTCCCCCGATGGCACGTTCACTTGATGGTTTTTATTGATGTTTCAAAACGAATGAGAAGGGAGCGGCAAAGTACAGGCTGCAAGTAGGAGAATCCGGCCCTGATTTTATTTGGGTTTAAAAAGCTGTCCTGGACCTATTGACTATCATAATGGCCCCCAGCTTTTGCCCTCCGAATGGGAGCTTTCGACGCCTGTGCGGCGATCGCGGACGAGGATCTGACCCCGGCGACCGGGCACATTATGTTCCGTTCAACAATACGTTCCTTTCTTCTCGTCCGTCGCTCGTCGAGATGACCGGGCTCTCATCGAAAGTGAAGCCGCGGCGGCGTGGCGCTCCGTTTTTGCCGGGGCACGCGCCGCCCGGCCACGGCCGTTTAATCGGTGTCGCTTTTTATTCGGTTGTAAAAAGCGAGTGTATCCCCTCGTAACGACTTGATTCACTCGGCCGCATGTAAATGAGCCGACCAACCGACCGCCGTAAACGCCGCCGTCCACGACGTAACCCGTCCCGGGGCTCGGTGGAAATCGGGAGTGAGTTCTCTGCGGTTTTGATGGTCGTCGTTAACCGGTGGGTTTTTTCTTCGAATTAAACTCCACTTGAGCTCCGTGTCGGTGAGTGTTTACTTAGCCAGGAGTATCGCGTGCGGTTAGCGTTTCGCTCATGCTTTGATTGTACTTAGTTTGGAAAAATTGTAAATATAACGGACTCATACACAGAGATAACAGGGTAACCCTAGTTGGGGAATATCGGGAAAACCGGGAAATGTCAGGGAATTTTAAAAATTCAGGGAAAACCTGGGAATGTCAGGGAAAATGATGGAAGTGTCAGAGAAAAATCCTGAAGTCACATTTATTTGCTTTCTAGAATGGGTTTGACGTTTCGAACGACAAATTTTGCCTAATAACTATAATGACTTTTTAACAATCTGGCATTTGAACAATTGTCAGGAAATTTCGCAAAATGCAGGGAAATCAGGGAACTGTCAGGGAATATAATGTTCCAAATTCTGTTGCAACCCTGTTACCAGCGATCCGGCAAAAGGGTTGGTAGGCGATGGGTGCTGCGATAAATCGCTTCACGCGGTATCATAGCTTCGGTGGGGGAATAGGGACCATAGAGTACATAGAGTCGTGATGTGAATGGGAGAGCTGGCGCCATGTTCTGCTCGACGAGTTCCGAGCCCGGTGTGCGCCGAGTTTGGGTCACTTTTTCGATGAATGTTCGATCCAAAATGGCGGTGTGGAATACGTGGTGATTCCTATCTTCTTTGTTTACATCGGATGGCCGGGTACACGTGTATCGCAAACAATCGATTATGTATCGAAAAAGTGACCCGGCGTCACACAGGAGTCTCGGAATTCGGGACCTGGAAAATGCTTAAAAGTGGCGCCAGCTCACCCACTTACATTACGACTCTATGTACTCCATGATAGGGACTCGAGTCTAAATCACTCTTATTTCGATCAAGAAAACTTGTTATTTCCCCATGTCACTCATAATTTACTTCTATTTGTTTCAGATTCGCGAAGTGATGGCGGGTGTACCCAGCAACATCCAAGTCGTAAGTAGCGCTTCGGAGAGTGAATACGAGAGTGTGGACTTTAACGCTTGCCACAAGAGTAACTCGGCCAGCCTCCTCGACCTCGTCGACTCGGAGCTGGCCCGCCGCTTCTCCGCCGCCGCCGCCGACTCGGAAAACCCCTACGAGACCCTCAACAACAAACCCGCCAGCCGGAAAACCTCCGAGTCCCTCAGCCGCAAGTCCTCCGAGTCCCTCAGCCGCAAATCCTCCGAGTCCCTCAACAACAAGCCCGCGATCCTCGACGACTGCTCGCTCATCAAGAAACCGGTCGACACCAACGCCAACGAGGACTTCCTCAACGGCGAGCGCTACAGCAACGGCCTCTCGCAGAAGAGCATCGACACCGAGCAGAACGAGATCAACAAGTTGCGCTCCGCCTCGCTAGATGGCGTTTACGACACCATCCGCGTCGAGAACTCGCACCCGAACGGTCACGATGACCACGAGCGCGATTCCCACTCCGAGGATGAATCCTCCCATATTTATGAGAACGTCACGTTCAGCGATAGGCCCGAGGACGAACAAACCGAGTCATTAGGGGAACCCGTCGTGGAACCCATCGTGGAACCCATCGCGGAACCCGTCTTGGAACCCGTTGTGGAACCCGTCCCGCAGTTCCCCGGACTCCCGTCGACCGTCAGCGAGTTGACGTTCGAGACGTGGACGACGGTTGACGACTGCGCCAAAGAGGCGGAGGCTGCTGAGGCGGACGAGGCTGACGAGGGTGTGGGTGACGTCATCGATGACGCAATAGATGACGTGATCGATGCCCCCGTGTCGGACGCGGATACGGCCCCCGAGGCGGACTCCGAGTTCGCCGGCACCGACGTCACGGACAGGACCAGCGTTTTGCATGACGATGTTTTTGTTGATGATTCGGCGTCGCAAACTACTAACGAGAACGATGTGAGTGTGTTTTTTTGCTACTAACTTAGAACTAGGGTGCATTCGTACGAAGGTTTTGATTATTTGAAGTTCAGGCCGAAGAAGTTTACATATTTTCAGACTGCGATTGAAGATCCGCCATCTTGATTCTTGAATTTTACTTTCAAGTGACGTCAAACGATCTTCTCTTGTAGTCTAAAAGTGCGTAAACTTCTTTGGAGAGAACTCTAGTTCATTATTAAAGTCGAATATCACTGTCCACTATCCAACGTTTTTTTTGAGTGAGAGGAACCTAAAACAAGAACAACCTAAATACTAGTTCATACTTTCCAACCATCGCACGAATGCATTTCCAATTTTTGTATTTTACCACAATAGCTAAAAGTAGATGCAGTAATTGTTATCGCGAAGCACAATTGATGTTTCAAATTATCAATTTTGCTGTGAACACAATGATAAAGGTCGAGTTGCGTAAAGTTTGTTGCTCCTGAAAACTTGAAACAATCTCGTAAGTTGAATTCGCCTTCAAAATAGTACTTATGCAACCCTGTGACAGCCTTGTAAGTAAAACTTGCTGAGATTGTCTGTGAGGCCTCTATATATAATGCCTTTTTTTTTACTCTGAGCGCTGCACGTAACGCAGGACGATGAACGAATGTTGTACCTTTAAGCATTCTGTCACGAATCGTCGGTTCCCGGACGAAAGAACGTTACTCCTCTCCAAGGTTGTAAAATAACTTAAACCATTCAATTTTCACACACATTTTTACCAATTTTTACAAGGATGCATCCGTTAACATTTCATCCAAAATTTATCTACTTTTTGCATGAGATCGGAAGGAAAATCAGTGAAATTCTCAGTTAGAACCGCACAAGATTATCCTGGTAAAAATTCCATTCGCAAGGGAAAATTTGGCAACCCTCACTGAAAAAAATAGTAGAGCCGTAGAGACAAGATAAACTTGTTAAACCTGCCTTGTCTCAGGAACAAGACTTTTAGTCTGCCAAACAACTCAGTTTGTTTGGGAAACAACACCCGTTTGTTAATGCAACAAGACCAGTCTTGTTTTATATACTAGGTTTCTGAGCCACCGGACTCGATAGTCTTGTCACTGTGACAAGATTATCTACTCACCGCGATTATATGGTCAAATTCAAAGAGAGAGTATTATTTTATATATTTTGAGAGAGTATTTTAAGTACTACGCTTAATAATTGTTCCCCAAAAATTTTTCTGGATGTTTGATGAAAGGGTAAAAACAATAAGTTTATAATTATTTTTTAAAAATAAATCGCTCATGCGTAAGGTTTTAAAATCAAATGTATCTAATTATATAATTATTTTTTTAACGTTTGATTTATTTATATATTATCAATTATTATCATGATATAAAATAAAAATAAAAATTAGAATCATAAACACGGAACAAACGAAACATCGTTGCTTGAAGAAACACAGTTTTTTAGCCCAAATTATCCATTTTTATCTGATGTAGAATGTAAATTCCTTTTCGTAAACAGTAAATGGTAAAAAATAAAAAAACCGAACAATCTGATGCTCTACGCATTCCATAGACCTGAGATAGCAACAAAATGAAAAAGTAATTCTGTGGGCTGTACTTATACTTAAAATTCGGATCCGTCCGTAACCAGCCTGGGTTGCTCGGTCAGTAAAACACCCGGTCCGTTATCAGAGGATTCCGCGTTCAAATCCCGATCAGGTCGGAAAAATTTGAAAGGTCGGATAGGACGATTCTGGTGTAAGAGGAGTGAAGGAACTTGAGAACAAATATATTTTCATATAAATCGTGCAATTCATATAATTTTGTGACATTTTTTGCAATTTTAATTTCTTCCGCAAACTGTGACAAGACAAGTCTTGTTCCCAGAACTAGACAATTTTGTTACCGAGACTAGACTTCTGACGTATGCAACAAGGAAATCTTGTTCCCTGAACAAGACTGCATGGGTCCCATGAACTAGAATACCTTGTGGATCAAATATAACAAGACGGTCTTGTCTGGGAGACTAGAATCCTTGTTTCTCGGACAAGGCACTTTTTTCAGTGCTGAACTTCAGTTACGTTCTTTCACGAGGAAAACTATGAAGTAAGATAAGAGTCATTGAGTGAAACTTGGACCGAGCAAAGATCTACCAGCTGCATCTACTTTTATGCTCTTTAGCCTTTGTTTTATTAACGTTACTTTAATCGAGTTCAGGCTGAGGGAACCACCGGACATCAACGACATAAGGTATGGAAAAAGAGGTTTGAAGTCTTGGTCCCGGAGAAATGTGTCAATTTAAAACTTAGAATTAACTCGTATTTTTCAACAAAATTGTTTCAACATCGAATGTTTGACAAGAAGAAACGTGCGTTTACCTCTCACAATCAGTTATTCCAAGTTTCTAATTTTTGTCGAGATGTGAGTTGGTTCTTTTCTGCCTAACCTCGGTACTAGTGAGGATAGAGGGGAAGTATGCATTTTGGTTTTTAACATGATCGAAAGTAGCACGGAGAAGAGAAAAAAAAAGATAATAATTGCAAAGAAGCATCTTAACCTTCCCTCTGAATCTTTCAAAAGGACTCTATTTTACAATTAGGAACCACAATTCCTGTCTCATTTGAAAAATCACTTATCTGCGTACGGAAACTTACGTCACATCCCTCGTTTCTGAAGTAAGCTGAAAGTTGTGGTTCCAAATTGTATAATGTAGTCCAAATGTGTGTTTTCTTGACAAACCAGATAGAGTAATTAATACTGAACCATAAATCTATACTTCTAATACAGGAATCTTTCAAATAGTCAAAAGAGGGTGGCAAAATTTTTTTTTATTTTGAAAATCGTGACGTTTTACGTTAAGTATGTCCAATTATATTATTTATGATAGTTCATTCTTTTCATTGAATTTTTCGTGGGTTCCCCAAGAGAGGGGCATCTTTTTCAGTCTGGAGGGAAGTTACTAGGAGACAGAACCTTCAAAATTTTGCTTTTGAACATCAGAGACAGAGTGGCAAAATTTCATAATTTTTAAAATTTTGAAATTTCCCGTGAATTTTTTCCAAAATTTATGATGGTCCATTATTGTTCAATCAATTTAACGTCGGATGTCTAGATAAAGGGGAATCTTATCTAGCTTATACTGGAAAGTTACTAAGAAGCAGAACCTCCACAATTTTGCTCGTGCTTTCCGTTCTCCTTCTTTTAAACTATTTCATGATGTCATCTAGGGGACGTATCTAAATCAAAAGGACCTATATCCAATCTACATGAGTCGTGTAATGCATGTAGTTTTATGATTCTCAGGGCTTATGTCTTTTTGAATACAGTTTCTTTTGACTAAAATGTGTCCTATTCATCTCAAGCCGTCGTCGTTTCCTACCCGATGGAAGATTGAAGACGGGCTTGGATTTCTTTGGCCAGGTGCCAACTTGCGTCGCGTCTATAGGTAGCTCTTTTTGAGTCGGAGCATGTCATAATTACATCATTCACCGCCAATGCACAGTGATGGAAACCTCTTGTCATGGCGCTTCATGGGAGCCTGATTCGATAAGTCGAAACGGTTATTAATCAAAACCGTCCTCTGAGGATCCGACAACAACCTCTCNCCCCCCTAAGAAAAAATTAAACATAAAAACACAAAATGAGTAACCAATACGGAAAAAACAACTTAGCATTGAGCCCTAACCTTTAAGGTAAATTACCGTTATTACAGCTGTAGGACTGGACCCTTAAGAGGGCTCAGCGACGTTACTTGCAGTTGGCACTATTTTTAAAAGGCTGGAAGGTTCTTGAGTACGAGTAAACATCAGCGATATTTTGTAAGAAAAAAATACAGCCATTTCCTTGCAAGAAATCGAAATTTTTCATTCAATTTTCGATCTCGAAATGGAATAATTTCATCGTCTGAGAAACAACGCACGGTCTCGTCGTGAGCTCATAGCGGCAACATCCCCCCGAATGAGTTGAAAATCCATTAGATTTTATTTGGTTTGTTAAGCGGTTTTCGTTCTTGTTTTTTTTTTAAATTTTTTTTTAATGTGTTTTTAGTATTTGATCGTTTGTGTGGTTCATATTTACTCCAACAATTTGTCAATTACTTATTAAGCTTTGTTTGTGACTTTTCTTTCGCTCGTTTTTGGATTTCTGCCTGTTGCCTGTTCTAGTGCAGCTTTTTAACTGAATACTTGCCAATGAGTAGTGTGTCACTCACACTTAGTTTGTGTTTTTAGTTGGAGGTTCAAGTACACTGAGAAAAATCCATGGCTCAATAAACCTATCAGTGGTTCGTATGGAACACCACTAATAGTCGTAAATGAGCTAGTGATTCTTGGTCTGTGAACCATACTAAGGTATCTCGTAACATACCAAGGCATATATACTATCACTAAGGTATAATATGTGCTATTATTATATGCTGCCTTTACCACTGTTAGTGGTGTTCCATATAAACCACTAATTGGTTTATAAGCCATGGCTTTTTCTCAGTGTAGGGAGTCAGTTCTGTTATAATAAGCACAACCGATTGATCCTCCTTTTCTCTCCGCTACGACTTGGAGATGGAACCCCGATTCACACGATCGAATTCTCTTTTTTAAATTTATTATTTTTTTCGTCTAATGGGTCCATCCGGAGCAATCCGTCAAGCGGCCCGACAGAATTTTCGCACGGATGGACGACCGGCCGGACCGACGCCGTACGTCTCGCAGAGAAATCCGAGTCGCGACATTTCGGAATTTTTTGGCAGCGTTTTCGCGAGCGTCCAGCGGGGACCCGCTCAACTCAACGGCCGCGCTTATTTTAGAAAGCGAGAGATGTCGCAATAATTACCACGCTCCTCACCTCCCCAGCCCGCCTTGCAAAAACCGCGTATCTACGCACGATTCAACGCCGGGGTTACGCGGTTATGTTTTATACGAGTTTAATCTCTGCGCAAAAAAGCTCGAATTTTGTCAAACGAGCTCGGGTTTTTTCAAAACGAGCACGGTCGAGTTATGCAGTGAAACTGTGACGAGTCGCGCC